CCGGCCAGCGTCAAGGAGTTTATGCGCGGCCTTGATGACCACATCTCGAGCAACGGCCAGCTCAGGTGGTCCTTGCTCTACACCCAGGCATGTGAACTCTCAGCTCAGCTCCTCCAGCTGTCTCCACTTGGAGATGCGGCGCCGGCTGTGCTGCTTCACTGAGCAGTGAACGTGTAGCAGTTGGCGTGTGCGAGATAGTTAAACGTGGGGAGGAGTGAGTTCAGAAAGCCAAAGCAGGCACGCTTGATCACGGGATGAACGCACGTGTTTTCCCCACTTTGTGTCAATGCGTTGTCTAGTGACGCGCCAGTCATTTGCTTCTTAAGCCTGCGGTCAAGCACTTTGCAGAAGCTGTAAGTCGTCTCCGACGCGTGTCCTGCTGCTCCCGGCGGCGCGGTCTGTCGGACCGTGAGAGCGTGTCGAAGCAGAGGGTGGGACACTAGACAGAGCGGGAGCCGTGGGGCGCCGCCGAGGCCGGCGCGTCCGACACTGCGCCGCGTCCGCAGACGGCGGCCGGCTGCGCGGCGGCGGCGCGCGCCGGGCACCAGGACTCGCTGCTGCGCCTGCTGCTCAACATGGACGAGCTGCAGGCGCCGCTGGTCACCCTGATGGTGGAGCGGCTGCTGGAGGTGGCCTACAGTGTCAGGTGCGGCCCGGGCCGCCGGCCGAGCAGCGCCGGTCCGGTGCCGCCCACGCGCGGGGCAGTGCCAGACGGGCCACCCCCGCCCTGCTCAGGCGGGGAGGACGGCCTGTGACGTCGTGTGATGCTGGATTACAGCGATCGGGTCGCGTTGTCGGTGCCAAGCCACTAGCCTCCATGCCGTTTATGCTGCGTTATGCCGGAACATGGCAGCGGAGTATGTCCTCTGCGATGTGGGGGTAATGGAGCTTGGTATTTGATTCGTCGCCCAGTGCAGGTACAAGGGAGTTGGACTGTGTATCAGCTGTTGCTGACATACGCATCGCTGCGTGGGTTGGAACGATGAATACTTTTACATAGGGCTGACCAGCCGGACACTGCACCATGGGACTGGCATATTCTGCCGTCCCACTAGCCTACGGCCTGACGTATGTGCTACATGCTACGACCTGCGCGCACTGGAGGATCCTGTAGTCGTTTGTTCGGACGGGACCCTGCATGCAGTCGGTGAGGGGCGTCGTGCCGCAAGCTGCGACTGACTCGCCGCTGTCCGGCCCTGCTCCAGCTCCGGCGAGGACCACAGCTTGCCGCGCCTCATCCTGGCCAACCTGCAGCGGCTGGACCGGCTGGCCGACGCCGGCGCCGTCTCGCAGAAGATGCTGGAGCTGCTGCAGGGGGCGCCGCCGGAGGTAGGGGCACGTGCCGGTGCTGCTCTGACCTCTGCTCTGCTCTGCCCGGCTGCCGCTACCGCCGTGATGCGGTCGGGCGCAATTTATCCTTTGGAGGCTGTCGGCGCATACGGTCCTGGCTTCAGGGCTTTTTAAGGTGCAAAGTGTGTGTGGTGATCCGAATTCTGCCAAATCCCGTCGCCCCCTCCCCCAACCAGGCAGTCTCCTCCACTCGCAGCCTGCCTAGTCTCGCTGCAGCCCATATCTAGGCCCGTCATATCGCATCTTAACATCACATATTTTGTCTTGTCGTTTTCCTTCGAAATGCAGGAACAAAGTGGCGTAAATTGGAAGATAATCAGAAAATGGTGTTAGGTTTGTGAACTCATTTAGGATCAGTCATATCGTTGAAATTTTCCCACTAAAAATTTATTTAACACATTATGACAAGGCCAGCATTGTTGCAGGTACAGAACGACATCATCACGTTCCTGCCCGAGATTGTCGACGACGCCAGCCACCCGAAGGTGGCCGAAGAGCTATGGTAAGCAGAACCCCGTTTGGCCGATGCCACTTGTGCTGTAAATGAAGTGAGGGCACATGAGCGCGCGGCGACAGGCGAAGGCCAGTTTGGAGTTGTAATATTTTTCTGACGGGGTCCAGATCTTTGTTGATGTTTCTGTTCGGTTACATATGTGACTCAGCCTAAAAGTCAAGTGTCGTCAGGGGACAGAACGGACCGTGCCGGGCATGGCGGCACGTTTAACTTTCGCCACCAAATTTTGCAGTTGAACTGGAATCGCGCGATCAGGTGGTGGGGGTCCGGGCTCACAGCAAGCACTGCTAAGCGCGAGCTTGAACCCCAGAAATCGACTCATTCAAAAATATTCGAATCAAAACTTTCAAAAATGCGCTCGCTCATCGTTGTCGAAAATTCCCAGGAGTTGGTGGCTGGTCAGGAGCAGCTGTAGGCTTTGACGAAACAGAGTCGATGCTCCCAGCTGTTTACCATCGGTGATGCATTCCGGTTAGAGGCTGCTGGTACTGACGTTCCGCGCCTTTCTGAACAAGCTTAAACTGCCGGCCTGAGCCCTGCTATCCAGCCATGGCTTCTGGTTGCACCACTTTACACGGTGTTCAGCTGACGAGCGGGGGCAGGTGACCCGACCGTGTTTGACCCGCCCTCCTTGCCTCACCTCGCTCGCTCATCAGCAAGCTGTTCTACTCGTCGCCGGACCTGTCGGTGGCGATCCTGGACTCGCTGCCGGGCCTCAGCCTGTCGCCGCAGGCGCTGCTCGACGTCAAGCACTCGGTGCAGAAGACGCTGCAGGCGGCGCGACCCGAACACCTGCCGGTCGTCGTCAAGTTCCTGCTCGAGGACGCGGGCCGTGCTGAAGAGGTAGGCATCGAGGACGCGGGCCTTGCCTAGGGGTTAGGCCGAGGACGCGGGCCTCTACAATGTCGAGGA